AAACCCAAGCTCCCAAATAGTTTGGGTTTGGGTTTGGTGCATGCCTACTTTTCATGAAATTATTCATTGTGGTGATGATTGAATTGAACATTTCATCTTTTCTTTATAATATCAATCGTTATTCAAAAACAAATTTTGATTGTTTTTATGCTCATATCATTGATGATCTTAATCAAAACGACGGAACATTTATTCGTACAAATTATTTTACTTCCTATTGCCAACGTCCACTATTAAATGAATCTATGAATGAAGATTTAACATGGAAAGAAGGATATGTGAAAAATAGAATAAATTTTTCAAGTTTACGTTCTCAAGGCATTACTAGTGAACAATTACTTGAATGGTCAATATCAATCGATATAACTGAAGAATATGCTATATATTTGATTGAAAATGATCCAAAACTGGGTGAAATTATTTTTTTAAATTGTTCATCATTATGGTTTGGTTCTCATTGTCAATATAAATTTGGTTCAAATATTGAAATTGAATCATTTGGTGATTTTCTAGTTTCTTCATTTAATAATCGACAGAAATATTCTTATGAACTTACAATAAATACTTGTTATCCACATTTATCTGGATGTTTCCGTAGTCCTAAACCAATGTATTTAGATTGGCGTGAAATATGTAATGGAATAATTGATTGTATTGGAGATAATTTTGGTATAGATGAAAAATATTGTCATGAACTTGAAATGAATGAATGTAAAGAAGATGAATATCGATGTCACAATGGAGCTCAATGTATACCATTAGACTTTTTTCGAGATGGTTGGGCAAGTAAAGATTGTTTAGATGGAACAGATGAAGAAGAAACTTTCATAAACAATCCGGAATTTAATAATGTCAGTAAATTAAATTGTATAAAAATGTTAACATTTCCTTGTGAAGAACGTAGTTGTTGTTATCCACGATCATTTCCATGTGGTGATGGGGAATGTCTGAATTTTGTACTGAATAATGATCATTTTAAGGGAGTTTTGTGTTCCGGTACAGGACGTAATATCAATTATGCTTACAGTATTTATAAGACTCTCAATCATCTTCCGGATGATTGTCAGAAATTAATACTTCACAAATTCGGTTTGTATAGACCTTCCACAAACGAGAAGGAAGATTATTCATCTGAAAATTGGTTATAATTAAATAATTGTTCAATGGATAATATCTCATTTCCTGCATATCCTATCTTCAATGGTTATTTTCAAGTTATCTATTCATCTAAAAGTTTGATCAATGATTCGATTCGTAATGCACCACCGGATTATGTCTGGAATGATCCACGACAATGTTTACATTTACCAAAAGCAACAATTCAAATAGGAGGTTTAGATTGTCGACCATTTAATCAAGTCGTTGAAGAATCTTATATTATGGATTTGTATGATTTACATTCTGTTCTTGATTCACTTATGGATATTTGTTCATTAATGAGAAATATTAATAAATATACATCGAATTCATCTTTATTTTATTGTCAATCATCACAAAGATACATTTCTAAACATCGTCTTATTGATAATATTGTTGATTGTTATCATGAAGAAGATGAAAAATATCAATATAGTTGTTTATTAAATGATACTCAACGTTTTTGATGTCAATCGAAACAAATATGTATGTCACCTATAGGTATTAGTACGCTTTCAGGTGACTGTCGAGATGAATATATATCCCTCACTAAGCCTAAATCGTCTCTATTTGCATTTCTATGTAGTTTCATCCCTGAAGTTTCGGAAGAAAATGGGGATGATAATGAAACAAATTGCGAATGGTGGCCATGTAATAATCCTTACACTCGATGTGATAATATTTTTCATTGTGCCAATGGTATTGATGAATTCGATTGCCCTAATTCTTATTGTAATATTAATGAATTTAAATGTATTATTGATGATTCTATCGATTATCTATGTATTTCTCAAGCTAATATTTATGAAAAACCAATTAATTGTAGCAAACATAATGATGATGAAATTATTTGTCGAAAATTATTTTATTCGACTAATTTAATTAATGAGAAAAATGAATATTTATCATGGAAAGAAAAAACATGATTAACGGATAATGATATTTGTGGTCAACCATCACTTAATAATCAGCATTTAATATGCAATTCTGTCAAAAAATCGATAGCTTATCTATGTGAGAGATTAATATGGGATATAAATAATAATAAACCATTATGTGCCTTAAAACTTGATGACATTATTTTTCATTATAATCGTTTCTTTTCTAAATTCAATCTTGGATATTTTCCATCAATAATAAATCAAACTTCATTATCCTCACGAAATCATATCAATATGAAAATAACAACAAAAATATCTATGGATACAAGTATTGAATTAATTGAATATTGTAATCGTGGTATTTTGATCTATGAAGGTGAATCAAATAAAAAGAAATGTTTATGTCCACCAAATTATTTTGGTGATCAATGTCAATGGCAAAGTCAACGTGTTAGTTTAACACTTCAAATACGTCCAATGGGTTCTATTGATAAAAAGAATTCTATTTATCATATATTTATTTATCTTATTGATGATGAATATAAAATAATTCATTATTATGAACAAATCAATTATATACCATCAATAGATTGTCAAACAAAATTTAATCGTTATTTACTTTATCCAACAAGACCAAAAAATGTAAAACATAATTATTCAATACATATTGATATATTTGATAAAATAACATTAAATTATTATGGAAGTTGGTATTTATCTATTCCTTTTCCATTTTTACCGGTTAATCGTTTATCAACACAATTAATTATTCCATATGAGAAATCGGAATTTTCGAAAAATTGTTCATTAGAATGTGGAATACATGGAAAATGTTTTTATTATATCAATTCACCAAAATCATTTTGTAAATGTGATCAAGAATATTCCGGTCATTTTTGTCATTTAAAACATGAATGTTCATGTTCATCCGATTCAATTTGTTTAAATTCATCGATTTGTTTATGTCCATTAAATAAATTTGGTTCAAAATGTTATTTACAACATACATCTTGTCAACCTGATAATCCATGTCAAAATAATGGACAATGTATACCGATTAATGATCGAATTAATAAGAAAGGGTTTATTTGTTTATGTAATGAAGGTTATATGGGATTAAATTGCGAATATAAATCAAATAGAATTGATATTACTTT